AAGGTGGGGGCTCCGCCCGGGATGCGGCGAGGCGCGGGGAGCTGCGCCGAGAGATTTATCTTGCCGCGGTCACAATGCAGAGGGCGACAGCCCGAAGGTTGCGCGGCAGGACTCCTGGGCGACCCCCACCCCACGCCTCCAGGGCTCTGGCTCCCTCCCCGAACCGGTAATGCCAACGGCTACCTTGCGGGGAGCTTTTCCCCTGTCATGCTCTGTGCTGAGAGAGCTACAAGCTGGGTCCCAATTAAGCCCCACAGTGGACAAGCTCACAATACAAATGAGGAAACTGAAGCCCACTGAGGTCAGGTTGCTGTCCAAGGTCACACAGCTAGTATGCATTGGAGCAGCATTTTGGGCTCAGACACATCTGACTGGACGCAGACTATGGAACGGAGCCGGGTGGGCGTGGGGAGAGGAAGAAAAGAGGCCAGTGTTGGGGGCAGGAGACTGGAGATTTCGAGCCAATCTCTATTTATACTATGGCCACTTCCCGCTCCTGACCTCCTGAAGGAGCAGAGTTCACTCCCCTACACCCCCATCAAAAAACAAAAACAAAAACAAAAAATCCTCCTGTGATCTTGAAGGGCTGCAGAAGTTCCTCTCCTGACTCCTTGGGGGCACAGACCATGGAGAGAGAAGACCCCTCTCCCCACTGCAGTCTACGTTAGGATGGCAAACCCTGGCAGGCTGTGGACCAGGCACTCGAAAGAACAAACAGGAATGGGAGTGGGGCGTGGTGTGTGGGTGGTGGAGGAGTCTCTTAGTTTCTCCTGTCAAATATGTCTCTATATATTTTGTTGCAAATTAACTCTGCAATTAATAACTTAAACAAACAAAAAAATCCTACCATCCTTTACAATCCGGCTCCAGTTCCAATATTCCACAAGGCATTTTCTGACCAAAGTGGGTTCCCAGGGCTGTAAGGGCACTCAGAAGGCTGTGGGTGGTGACACTGCAGCCTGGGATAAAGGAGAAGGGGAATCACGGGCCAAGGCCACAGCTGGGTCAGTCCTGAGCCCAGGTCACACCCAGAACTGTCTCCCTTCCAAGCTCACATTCTTGACTTGAAGGGAGGCTCAGAATGGGGCTCTGGACCACCATGGCTCCGTGTAGTCTCTGCACAGTGCTGGCGATGGAGAAAGACCAGAACATTTCTCAGGAGGCAACAGCCCTAGGAGACCCAGCTTGGCCACTGAGATCCTGCCAAGTGGTCCCTGGGCACATGCTCCATATACCCCACACCCCGCCCCCAGCCCCGAGATGATGTCCGCCCTGCTTACTCCATCTCTGGGCGTCAGAATCATCTGAGATGTAAACTGAAAGCGAAGCAGATGCAACCCCACACCATGAACCCCTGAGCCGCATGTGCGTGGATATGAGTTGTGCTCCTTGGAGCAGTGACCTGGAACCCCGGCCTGGAGGGAGCATCGCTGGACTGAGAGGTGGGCCAGGCTCTCTGAAGGCAAAGGCAGGCATTAGAGGGCCATGAGGTCCTGAGGGTTGCATGAGGCACCGGGAATCCCGGTGTGAGGACAGAAACCCACACACAACATCTGGAGGGAAAACTGTTGTAGAAACTCCAGGGAAGGGCAGGGGAGGCCAAGGGAGGGGTCTGCCACCGAGAGCAGCAGGGGCACTGTGGCTTTGGCACCAGATGGTGCCACCTTTATATGAGCTGCCCTGTGAGAGTTGGGGGTAGTTGGATAAGAGGGTCCAGAGGCTAGAGTCGAAACTTGTTTAAACTGGCCTGTTTATTTGCTAAGATGACTTTTTAAACCTGTGACATGAACAGGTCACTCTCTTGCTTTTAAACCTATTGTTGGCTCCCCACCCTTTATGGGATAAAGTCCAATCTCAAGAGGCAGTATTGCCTAATGGTCAGGGGCATGGATTCTAGAGCTAGAAGTGCTAGTTCGAAACCTTCCTCTACCTGTCACCAGTTGTGTGATCTAGTTTGCAAGGAGGCTAAAGTTTCAGGCCTTTCACAGTTCTTTACACCCTCTCTGTCTCTGTTTTTCCGTCTATAAAACGAGGACTAATAGGAGTACAGGGAAAGCCTCAACAAACGTTGTGTTTTATTATGTCAGCTTCTCTTGGTTTGTAAGACTGTTGGTAATTTGGACACTGCTCACCCTTCCAACTTCATCTCTGATCCCTCACTGCCCGGAGCAGTATCAAACTGTGCATAATCCCCCAGATAACACGGAAATGTCTCCTCTCTCTGCCTCCGTTCATGCTGTTCCCTACCTGGAATGCCATTTCCTCCTTCCTGGATTCATCTCATCCCCAGCATCCAGCAGGGGGCCCTACCCCAGGTAGTTACTAATTCCAGCACAGGCAACACAGGCAGCGGAGGGGGGATGCTAGGACAGGGAGGTCCTGAAACCCACCTCTTTGGGGCTCTGGGAGAGACCCCCCCCTTAATCCTAACACAGAATTCTTTAAGAGGTGGTCAGAAAAGGATTCTCGGGGAGACTTCCGTATGGCGGCAACAGTCCCATATTTTCCCTCTAAATTCTCACGTCTCCTCGGATTTTTGTTTCTTCGCTTTCATTCCATTCTTAAGGAAAGGGAATTCTGCCCCAAATAAATATAGTCATTCATTCAAAATATATGTTTTGAGACCGACTCTGTGCTAGGCATAGTGCCAGGCCCTGGGGAGAGCTGGAAACAAGCTCATACTTTATATTTAATGGGGAGGCAGGCAGTCAACAAATGAATAATTCAATAAACAAGTTAATTTATAACAGTAATGGGAACTGCAAAGAAAATTTTAAAATATGATAGAAAATTACAGGAGGTGAGTGTTGGCGAGCTGGGAGCTGGGCATTATTTATAAGGTTGTCAGAAGAGGCTTGCAGTTGGGCTGAGACCTGAATGACCTGAGAAGCCAGCCATGCAGATATGTAGGGGACAGACTGAGTGTTCTAGGGGGAGAGAACAGCTAGTGCAAAGGCCCTGAAGCAGAAATGAACTTGGCTGTTTCAGGAATACAAAGAAGGCCAGTGGGGCTAGAGCAGAGTGAACTCCAGGGGAGAGAGGGAGCTGGAGGGGAAGGCAGGGCCAGGTCACGTGGGGCAGTACAAGCTAAGAAAGGAATGGGTTTGATTCTAAGCCCAACTGCAGCTCTTTAAGCAGTGAAGTGACATCATGCGGTTTATGTTTGTAAAAGGTTACTCTGGTAGTTGCTTGGAGACTGGGGCATAAAAGGAGAGGGGAGGAAACAGGGAGACCAGCTAGGGACCATCACCCCCCAGGTAAGAGGAATAGAGGCTTGGAGGTTATGATGATGGAGAGAAATGGATGGATTGATTTTAGAGGTAGAGTTTGTCAGCTGGGTTCCCCAGGAAGCAGATACTGAGACGGGTTTAGACACGCAGGTGGTTGATTGGGGGCCAAGGCCAATGAAAGTTCAAAGGGGAGGAGGGAGAATTGTGCAGGGAGAGCCTCAGACCTCAGTGCAAATCTGACAAAGTCTTGACTGATCCAGCAAGGAGCTCTGGGGCCAAGACCGTCTATTAAGGAAGTTTTGCATTGGGCAGAAATTCCCAGTCCCTAGGACCTTTTCATGGTCATTCATTAGCCGGGAGCTGGGAGCTGTTCCAGAAGAGGGTGGGGTGATGTCCACACAGAAACCTGCACATAGATGTTTATAGTAGCTGTATTCATAACTGCCAAAACTTGGAAGTCACCAAGATGTCCTTCAGTAGGTGAATGGATAAGCTGGGGTACCTCCAGACAATGGACTATTACTCAATCCTAGAAAGAAATGAGCTATCAAGCCATGGAAAGACAAGGAGGAAACGTAAATGCACATTATTAAGTGAAAGAAGCCAGTCTGTAAAGGCTACATACTGTATGGTTCTAATGACATGACACTCTGGAAAAGGCAAAATGATGGAGACAGCAAAAAAGATCAGTGGTTGCCAGGAGTAATAGGGGAGGGAAGGATGAGGAGGCAGAGGACAGAAGGTTTTTAGGGCTGTGAAACTATTCTCTATGATACCATAATGGTTGATGCGCATCATTTTACATCTATCCAAGCCCATGGAATGTACAACACTGAGAGCGAACCCCAGTGGAAATTGTGGGCTTCGAGTGATAATGATGTGTCAAAATAGGTTTATCAGGGAACAGCTCCTCCAAGGTCCCCCTGGGCCTTTCTTCCTAAGGGGACATTTAGAAGTAGGGCTTGGTAGGATGAACGATAGTCCCCGTCACTGCAGTTGGTCTCAGGGCCCCAAGAGGTATTCACTGTCCCCCTCACCACCCATTCTAACCCCTCTTGCCTTCCATCATTACCTCTGCTGAGAGAGAGGAGAGGATTACACTTGCC